AACAAAAGTTCAATGTGAAAATGGACTGGACTCTATTTTTACATTGTAGTAAAACAGGTGCTATGGAGAGGGGACACGTGGAAGCAGTTGATTTCTCTGGTAACTATAGCCATTCTTCATACTCGTTCCAAGGCTTCTAACATGATGATACTATTTCCTCGTATTACCACCATTCCAATATTGTTCTGTTGCCCACCAGTTGCCATCTCCACACATTCATCTATCACAAGATTCATAAAGGGATCAAATCCCCGTAATATTCCTTGGACATGTCTGCCACCATTTAATTTCAATGACAACTTCTTGTCCATAAATTTTTTTAACTCGGGAGGGTGAGCTTTGCTCATGGTGGCGAAGCGAGCTCAAAGATACTTCCAAACGGAATTAGGGGCAGCTCTGGCGCTCCCGCGGTAGGCCCGGCGTTTTGCGTCTGACTTCACCCAAGACTGGTTATTAAGATGAATCGACTAGCAGACATTTATTGATAATCTAAATTTATGGGACGCAAAGATTTCTTTTTTAAAAGAGCACTATTTCTCACTTCCAAGAGGTATACACCATATGCTTTTGTAGCTTTGATTTAAGATAAATAGGCTATATATGCATGAAAACAGAAACTACAGTAGAGGAAAAAATAATTCTATAACAAAATGGGGCCCTAACCGGTTTGGCTCAGTGGATAGAGCGTCAGCCTGCGGACTCAAGGGTCCCAGGTTCGATTCCGGTCAAGGGCATGTACCTTGGTTTCGGGCACATACCCAGTGGGGAGTGTGCAGGAGGCGGCTGATTGATGTTTCTCTTACACTGATGTTTCTGACTCTCTATCCCTCTCCTTTCCTCTCTGTAAAAAAATCAATAAAATATATTTTTTTAAAAAAATGGGAAGATCTACTTTCTTGAATGGCTGTGAATTTGCTATAAAGTTGTTGTTGTTTTTTTACAAAGAGAAACTCCAATAATATTTTGGGCAATATACTTTTGAAATAAATGAGTAAAGCCTAAATGAAATTTTAAAAGAACAGGGTTCAGCCCATCTGGTATAGCTCAATGGTTGAGTGTCAACCTATGAACCAGGAGATCATGGTTCGATTCTCCAGTCAGTGTACATGCCCAGGTTGTGGGTTCGATTCCCAGTGTGGGGTGTGCAGAAGGCAGCTGATCAATGATTCTCTCTCATCATTGATGTTTCTATCTCTCCCTCTCCCTTCCTCTCTGTAATCAATAAAGGAGGAGGTGGGGGGTGTGTGTGTGAAAGAACAGAATTCATTTGGATGTAAAAGGGGTTAACCTTCCATTAAAACCCATTTTATTGCTTTATAATCACAATGTGTAAGATGAAATTAGCATAAATAAATAAACAACCCCTTCTATTCCTCTCTTCTAATTCCATATGTACTCCCCAAGCAATTTTGTCTGTTCTTAGGGCTTCAATGACCTTTTACTGTCCAACTAAACTCTGAATCATCAATCTCAGCCTCCCTTCTGGGCTATGGATCCTCTCTTGACATCTCCAACTGCATGTTGCATACACTTCAAACTCAGCATGTTCAAAACTAAAACGGTTACCTTCCTCTCACATTAAAAAAAATAATAAAACATGTTCCTCTATTCACAGATTCCCAAGCTTAGAAGCCAAGTTGTTTACTTTTCTGTTCACCTTCAAAGCCAATCAATTTTTAATCCCTGTAAATTCTACATTTCATTACCTGTCCTCTCCTCTTCATCTCTGCTATTTTCCTACTCCAGGCCCTTATCTTCTCTTATCTATCTCAATAGCAATAGCCTTCTAACTTATCTCTCTCCATCCTACCCAGCCTCCACACCATATCACCACCATGTTATCTTTCCTAATTACTTACAGTCCTTCACTGGCTCTCCATTGTTTTTAGAATCAAGTCCAAAGTCCTTAGCATGATGCCAAGGCTCTTCACCACATTTTCCTAATCAATGTTCCCAGTAAACTCTGTTTATCTCTGTTTTAACTCTTATCACACTGAAATTGTAGGGACTTATTTACATATCTGGTTATAAGCTTCTTGAAGTTAGGGAAGCATTTTCTTTTCCTCAATCTAACATTTAACTCATGGTCCAAGAACAGACATTTTAAACTTCTTATTGAAAAATAATCACCTCTCACATTATTAAGATGATGCCATAATTGTAGTGACTGAGTGACTGAGAACCTAGAAACAAAAAGAATCCCACGTCATTCACCAGGGGGGCGGGAAATGCTCTTATATACAAAGTGTAATTAAATTGTAGCTTGGACATGTCTTCAATCTACATCTTGCAATACCAGTTTCTATTCTCTCCCTATCTTTTTCTTTCCTTCTTTTTGAAGACTTTCTTTACAGAACTCTTTTAAACGCCCATTGGATTTCATTTGTAAGTCACTCACAGAATTGGAAACCCAGTATACTGCAGAGGGTAAGATCAGGATTTGGGGGAGCCCAGCTGTTTGGTTTGAATCCTAGCTCTGCTACCTAGGCTGCTTGATATAAGCAAGTTACTCAACTTCTCTGTCTTTGAGCAAGGAGTTCATAATAATAATAACCCTCGTGGTGCTGTGTACGGATTCAATTAGCTAATGCACGTGAAGAATTTAGAACACTGCCTGGCTCAGAGTAGGTCCCGATTAATGCTGGTGGGTGTTGTTATCAGTTTTAAAAACACCTTTCTCAGTACTTATTTTAGCCCAGTTGTTAGATTGATTTTAGCCCATCAATCTCCAAAATAAAGAATTATATCCTGCCTATACATGAATACTGTACAATGTAAGTGCTCAAACTGTGCCTTGGAATATAATAGATGCTCAATAAATAATGTAAATGTAAGGCTTCAAGCTTCCAATATCAACAAGTTATATATCATAGCAAAATTTATATATGGAGTTTATATATAGAGAGAGAATGTATTTTAAATTGGGGTTTTTTAAGTAGTTTCAAAACATTCATCTTCACTGAACCTTTGAAACATGTAAACATTTAAAGCAACACAAAATTCTATTCATTAGGACTTTTCCTTTTTATTTCTCCATTTAATTTGATCTTGGTATTCAATGATCTAAAATCCTCATCTGTAATATGATTCTTTACAGATCATTTAAAATATAATTTCCAACTTTAGATAACTGCCTATTGTCACATCAGAAAAAAAAATTCTTCCTTTAGATCTGCATTTAAAAAAATCCATGCCAGGTTCAACACAAAAAAATTTAATAAAGGCCAAGAAACACAATTACTGCATTTCCTGGTTTCAGCCTGGGAAACTAATTCAGAACACGCCCAGAAGTACCCCGGGTAAAAGTCTGCTGGCAACAAACGGCTCTTCCCTGTTTTATTTCCAGTCTCCCTCTTAAGTCCCTCAAACCCATAGAGAAGGATGCAAACGTCTATAATAACGCCCTTACAAAAAAAAACACAGCCAGACATTCATTTTGTTTGGGAGGACTTAACTCTTAAAAAAGCAAATCAAAGTCTGGATGTGAAGCAACACTCCCAGCTTCCTTTTTCCCAGGTAACTTAAGCCACAGCCATAGGCTGCCCCGCGGTAAATGATTGAGGAGCAGTGGATACATAACATGTGCTATTCTGGAAAAATTCATCCATCAGTTAAACACCGACCACCCTTCAAACAATGGTGATTTTGTGGGAAACGGGCTGGAAGCATTTATCTACACGGTAAACAGAGATCCAGGATGTTATCTAAAACACTGTAGGTCCATCACTAGCGTCGGGGTTAAAGGTTTACAGAGCTCCTACTATGTGCCTGGCAGTCAGTCAATGTGCACGAGGCTGGTGCACAGTCCGATAAGGATACCTAACATGTGCAGGGTCCTCTCCTCTCCTTCGGCCCTCGGAGCCCCCCTAGGCACGAGCATCCGCAGAGCTAAGGAAAGGAGGCCCAGAGTGACCCTGACCGCGGTCCACGCCGCATGCGGTCCGTGGGTCCTGGCCAAGACTCCAGCCTTTGACTCATCACCTCATCATCCGCGGCTACTCTGGTTACTCAAAAGCTCGTACATGTTCCATTGTCAGATTTTAAAATCAAAATCGACTCGACTTTTGCGGTTGTGCGTGTCGGAGTCTGTTAAGAATCAACACACTAAACTTCAGTTCGAAGCCCCTGGCCGACGTCTGCCGCCGTTGAAACCGGCTCGTCCTGGACGAGGCCCCGCATTTCCTCGCGCGCGCGGGGCGCTCCCTCTCTCCCCGCAGGGCCCCCGCCCGCCGCCG